GATCTGCGGTCCGTCATCAGTTAAAAGATAAATAAATGATAATAATTCTAGTATCGTTAAGCCCCCCTGCCATAAACGAGTAAAAGTGCGCAATAACACTAACTCAAACCACCACAACAACAACAACAACATATTTTTTCCATATCTTTTAAATGTTGTTTTTTTTTTTTTACAAAATTGACAGTTAATTTATTTCTAATAAGCAAGTGTCGCGTGTATCTGCAATATTTCCGCAGTTTTGTTTAATTGCGTGAGCATCTCAAGTTTTTGACTTCAGTGAACAAAGGTAAAAAGAACAGCAGTAGGGATAGAATATATCAAAATGAAACAAAGAAGATAAAATTGCGAATTTCCTGTGCAAAACACCGAGTTTTTAGCAACTTTTTCGTTGTTGGGCTTGTGTGTTTATCCGCATCTTGTATCTTGGGAATACCACACAGGTCGAAAGCGGAGATTTTAAAGCGAGTACATACAGCACAGTGACGTCGTTGTTTGATTTATTTTTTATATAAAAAATCATAAATATTAAAATTATAAAAAAAGTGCTTGTAAAGTAAAACATTATGTATTTTTGCGTTGTTTATTAAAATATGACCGCTGGTTAAATATGAAAAGACCACTGCAAAAACCAGAGACTTGATCACGATTGTTTTTTTTGTTGTTAATTTTTTTTTTTTAAGTTTACTTTATTACAACAGCAGCAGCACATGCCATGGAAATAAATAAATTTAAACAATAAATTATCTTTAAAAATACTAAAACGGAAAAATGTGATATGTAATTCAATTTGACACATTCTGCGCCGATTGACTGCGACGACACCTGAAGAAGGAGCTCGAAATTAACTTTTCGGAATATAGTCCATATTATTAAATGCATTCTTATTCTTATTTATAAGATAAAGTAATAATTTTATTTTATGTTTTTTTTTATTTTTACTTATTCGTATTTTGAAATTGAAAGGTTTATCTAGTTTTCTGGGTAACTGTTGATGTGTTAAGACAAGATTGTATGCTTTAATGAGCACAAAATATATGGGGCGAAATGATATGAACTGATTATTAGTAGTTATTGTAGGACCAAGGTATTTATTTTTATTTTTAAGATTGAATGTTATTGATTTTTAGTTACTTATGTGAGGAACATTGAGAGATGAATAAATATGATCAGTTAATACGACAGATAATATGACTGCATTGCTTCTATTCAGTTACAATAGATGATAATGGTGTGGCAGATAAATTAAAATTTCTATTATAAATATAGGATCAATTGAAATAGTATGGTTAATTTTAGTATTTGAAAAATGCGACAGAACATATGACTGCATTTACTATTGATTTCATTTACAATTCTATTTATTTACAATAGATGATAATGATGTGGTGGGTAAATGACAATTAAGAAAACTATTATAAATATAGGATCAATTAAACTAGTATATTTTATTTTGGTGTTTTTGGAGAAATATCTTTTTTTTTTAAATAATTTTTAGTGCTTAAATATCTTAAATCAAAAAACATACTTAAATTCTTTAATTAAAAAATTTAAAAATATGTATTCAGACTTAAAGAATATTGTCGTGAGGACAAAATTTATGATAACTTAATATTTTATTTTTTTTGCAGTAGGTAGAATGCATTGAAAGCCACAGTGCAGGACTTGAATCCACTAAAACTACCTCTTAAGAATGAATGGAAAAAAATTTCACAGCAATGTGGAAACTTCTTTCCAGTAATCAGGGGAGAGAGATGAGAACAAATAGGCTTAATATCTATTGGACTAGGTTTATCTAAGTCAGAAATCATTTGTGAGAATTAGGGAGAATGCGTTATACTTAAGTGGGTGGGGTTACGACTAAAAAGCGGGATGAGATGAACAGTAAAGTTTGTGGGCAGGGTTACGAAAGTCACGGTTATAGAGGGGCATGACGTGAGGATTGCAGTCCTATTCATCAAAGTAATAGGATAGGTACTGAAGAGATTTAAATTGCATGTCTTAAATAAAGTTTTCAGAGAGGGGGAAGGTCTTGAAGTTTAGTGAGTTATGTACGGGCGAGTGACAAAAGGTACTCGTCAACATGAGTGATCTTGGCATTGTCATAAAGGACAGCGGGGAAAGTACTTGCCGTAAGGGTTGCGTTTATAGTTGGTGCAATCGCGAAGAAGTTTCCGAAGAAGTTAATATTATAAATTTGCATACTTAAGTTAGTCAATGGTAAAAATTAAGCTTAAAAAGTTGTCAATATTTTTCATCATTAAAATATAGGCTCAATAATATAACATAATAATTATTATTCATCTTTACTGAAGTGTTTATTCCTACACATTTGATGAATTTATTATTTGTTCACAACTTTTTGTTTTGATAAATAAAAACAAATTCAATATGACTAATTTTCTGCTGGCCTCCTGACCATGAATATTTCTTCATTACAATTGGAGTAACTGGTGCTCAACGCCTAATTAAACTTACCAGCCACTTTTTTTCAAACGTACCATATCTAATGAATTGCATTTTTAATTTGTTCAATAAAATTAATAAAAAAAATTTTAAAGACATATAATCATAAATATTTTTAAAGCAGAAAGTAACTGGCTTTGTCCTTTTGATTTATCGTGCTTTTAACGGATTAATGTGTGAACCTGTTCGCAATCAGTAAAAAATTTATCATCTGCTCAAAATTATGATTCATAAAAATTACAGCTAAATTATTGCGTTGCCTACATTAAAATGCGATACTAAAAATTCAAGCGTTTTCTGGTTTACCTAATAAATGTAAAGATATTCGTACGTACGGAAACGCATCTCATATTACTTTTGTTGTGAGTAATTTCATTTGAATTGAAATGAGGACGACGGTTGCATGGCCAATCAAAAAATATTTTGTGGAGAAATTAGTTGATATAAATTTAAAAAAAAATTTCTTTTAATTTAACAATATTTTAAAATTCAATTGACTAGTTTAGTTAGTGAAAAACGAAAGTATGATTAATATGCTCCGAATGCACAATATTACTACTAAAAAATATTTTTATACAAAGATTATCTTTATTTTTTGACTGAAAATATAACATAATTTAGATATTTATATAGTACTCATCCATTATGTGGAATCTAAATTAGTAGAAAAAACTATGCTGAGAGAATACTTTTGAAATCTTAGTAGAAATGAAGAAGGCACTTGCATCCTGAAAGCTTAATATATCCATCACACATTATTACGATGTAACGTAGGATAACGTATAAAGTACCTTGACCGATAATGGAAGGCTTAAATTATAATGTAATCATAGTTAAAATGATTATTAAAATCTCGTAAGTATATATGTAAATAGTAAGGTAGATATAATATTTAAATTTTTTTTAAATGAGAAAAAAGTTAATACATCGAAGAAGTGTTGAACAAAATTTAGTAGGAGTTCAATAGATGGTAGGTATTTCAATACATTTTAAAAATAGTAACAATTTAGTGAGAGTTCAGATGTCTCAATAACAGTAGCAATTTAGTGAATGTTCAGACGTCTCAATAGGGTTCAGAAACAGAAATAATTTAATGAGTGTTTAGACATTTCAATAGGTGTCATTTCAATAGGTGTCAATAGGCAATTTAATTTATTTTTTTACTGTAAATAATTTCTTATACGAAGATATAAAATTATCCTTGAAAATGATCAATTAATAAATATTGGTTTACAGAATCTAACCGGGATTCGTTCCAAAAAGTTTAACAACAAATTGTTTGGATCTTTTGCAAATTTTATATATCTGTAGTCATTTCGATCAGTATGAATCAGTTTTTCAAGAGAGAATCTAAACGTTGACTATAATCGAAATTCTCAAAGAAACAGAATTAGCAGAACATGTTTCACTATTTTAAGGGATCATTAGAATAAGTACAGTTCACTTTGGAATTTCATTTAAAGCATCATTTGGAACCATTTAAATTTTCTTTTTTAATTTAAAATATTGTATTCTGAATATTTGATTTATAAATTTAAGGAATTTCCAAAATTTTAATGTGAAGATGTAATGTTAACATGCTTAAATCGGAATAATTCAATTTAAGATAATGCTTAAACACCTTACACATGTGATAACTGATAAGAATAGATTATTTGACGTAATAACTACCAATTCTAATTAAAAGCGTTCTTTTTTGATAGCCAAAAAGAATAAAAAGTGTTTTTAGAATATCAAAGGAAATATGTATAGGAAATAATGTCATTTAAGAATTGGACTCTAAAGATATAATAGAAGATTTTGCACAACAAAAATCTGGGAGGAAGTTTTTATAATTAATATAAATCTATTACTTCAAATAATATTCGTAAAGTGAATATTAATATAATTTCTTTAAATTTAAACACAATAATTACGGAAGTCCACTAAGGAATGTATATTGGTGAAAGGATTGTAACATAGAACTAAGGCACGTAAAAAGCTTATGTATCAAAATATGACGCATGCATGGATTATTTTTTTCAACTATTTTAGTCTAAAATATTGAAGCATATTTAATATGAATAATTTATTGTTTTAATGATTAAATACTTTTTAATAATAATTTCGTTTTTTAAGCGGACCAATTGGTCATATTTAATATTGGTATTTTATGCTGTGTTATATATTTTAAAGTTAAAGTATATAGAATTGGTTCTATCATATATTGTCTTCCATATGCTTAAGGTGACCTGAGTCACTTTTATTTATAGGCAAATATGTTATTTTATTATTATCGTATCGCTAGGTAGATTTAAATTACACAATAACAATAATAAATTAAACAATTTTTTCACAAAAAATTTATTTATATTAAGATTTCAATACACCTTCCACTTAGAATTCTTTTCTGATGGTAAACTGAGCTCTGATTTAAAACAATATTTCAAATACTTTAATACCTTAATTTTAGTTGTCATAATTTTATAATATGAAAATTTCCCTTAAGCTATTAAATAACATTTTATAATATTTACAACAAAATACACAAAAATAAAATGATATAAAATATATTATTTGAAACATTGTGATGATTAAATGGTGAACGTATGTAACTAAAGTTTCATGTAGCGTAAACGCTGGCAACATGCTTCACTCTGTGATTAATGTTTACAAGCACTTATTTATATACATTCTATAGACACAGATACTTGAAGAACGACAAGATCAGATCTGCTTGAGATCTGAGATCTGAGAACACAATGCGAAACCCGAAGAATAGTCGAAATGCTTGTTTTACGCAAAAAAACAAAACGAAGCAAAACATAAAAAACAATACGAGGAAAAAATTAACACATTGAATGCTTCGGAGACTGAAACGACTGCTTTCGCATTCGCATTCGCATTCTCAGTATCAGCAGTGATCAGCATTGATTTCGATTAAAAAAAATTTCGTTTGGCAATCTTGACGACTTGGCGATATAAAAGCACCCGAAAAAGGCACCGGTCAACCATAAGACGCCTTCAAGTCTAGCTGACTGGACACGAGTAGATATTGAGGTTGAGTCTTCGAGACGCTCTTTTAAAACTTTCGGTCATCAAAAAATGCAACTAAAGAATTTATGCAAATTTTGTGGAGTCTAAATTAAAAAATTTTGAAAGTAGAATATATCAAAAACCTATTAAACCTACAAAACAAAAACGAAAGATTGTGTCTCTTTGAAAGAAGTCAATTAATATCTCTCGATACGTGGTGGTAAAGTGCGAAAAAATTAAATGTCAGAAGTCAGAAAAAGGCATTCAAATTAGCAAACATTTTATTAGTGTAAATTTAATTTGTGCTCAAGTGACAAAGTATTTGCAAAATTATATTTGCTAACTAAAACGATATTCTTACGTAAGGATATTTAAAATTATAGTGTTGTTTATATAAAAGGATTAACTTAAAACTAACAAGTGAAAATGTCACACAAAGGTCCGGAGAAATATTTTCTGCACATCATTTTAGTGCTAATATCCTGCAGTGCAGCACTTGCCTGTCAAGGAAAATTATTAGGTAAGTTCCAAATTTAGTTAGATATATTAAAAAAATATATATCTAAAAATTATTCATAGTAGACTTGAAAAAAAAAATGTGATATTATTAATGATTACTTTCACTCAGTGATCTAATAGCAACTGATCGATTTGAATAAATATTTGGTATAAACATGAATCCGTCTGGCAGTTTACTCATAAATTCAATTAATAATATTAAAAAATATATTTGTATAAATCAGTTAAAGATGTTTAAAGATATAAAATTTGTTTAATATGTTTTGAAGTCTTAAATTTTTTTTTTTTTTTTGATATATTGCAGATATAACAAGTCATTTCAAAAATAATAAATTTGTAATTTTTTATCTTGTTTATGCAATGCAAATAAATATACTTCAAAATATCTTAAAGATTTTTATTAAACTAATAACTTCGCTGTTGTTCTTTATTATTTAAATATTAAAAAAAAATCTCGTATACTTATATTTATTGAAATATTTTGACTTTCTGCCTCTTGTCTCTGATTAGCATGTAGATCAGGTGTCGCTTGACAGCAGTTCGAAATTTAAATTTTTACTGAAGTTGTTTAAAATTGCCAATTCAGTAAGAAATCAACAAAAATTAGTTGAAGAGCAAGTATCTTAGATTGTGTATTTATTATAAATTCATACGGCGGGTACATATACGGCGGTATACATATATATAAACAAACCCAAATAGACTTAAATGCTTAATTTTATAAACATTTAACTCTTTGTCATTTGCTTTAATATTCCGTTCGCATACGAACATGAATTTACATATTGAATTATTTATTAATTTTTATATATTTAACCAAATTTAGTTTTTATTTTTATTTCTAAATTTGCAAAATTTCTATATAACCGTTCAGACACAACAAAAAAAAAAAATTAATAGTAGTAATAAAAAAATTTACTTAATGTATATATAATACGTAAAACTATAAAAAAAATTATGAATAATTTATTAGTGCTGCTGCTCCATTTTCATTTTCTGCCTTATATAATATAAAGAAACTTACATACATATATACATACATATATAAAGTATAACTACAACATTTTTTATTATGTTGCTTACACGTCATGTTGACCCATTTATTACTGAATTCTAGAATTATAGAGCATTTTAATAAAAATAATTTATCTAAACAGGAATTGTTTGTGTAATTAATTTATAACTAAAATTAACATCTGTTTGTGTCTCAAACATATATTTTCATTATTATATATGAATATTTTATGAAAGAACCTCTTCTTACATTGCTCTATAATTTACTCGGTCATGTCACAGTCGGAAATTCTAAGCTACTAGATATATTACATATTTAAATTTATGTACGGTTTCGTTATTAGAGATTTTCTCTTCATATTTATACACTTAGTTATATTAGTTAAAGGTCATTCGGTTATAAAAATATTTTTTATGTTAAATTACGCGCCAGTTTCTGAATTTTTTTTCCACTATTTATTTATATTTTTATGATTTCATGTTCTCGAGCTAACTTAGATATTTAGAAGTTCTGTATATTTGTTTGCAAAATCAGTATTTAAATAATGTTTTGAAAAGATATATTTGAAAATGAAAGAGTTAAGTTAGGGATGTAACTAAACCGGTTGACTTGACGTCATTGCGTAAAATTAATTCAATATTAATTCAATTCTACGAAAACAAATAAATACATAAAGTCAATAAACTTTCCTTTATTTTATATACAAAACAGATTTAAGATAAATTTATGCTAAAATATCGGTAATGAAAACACGATTCTATACTAAATTTTAATTTGTTTAAAATTTTTAATCAAATTTATAGTGAATTAATAATTAATTTAATTAATCGATTGAGAAATATAAAGCTCTTAACAGTAAATATTAATAGTTTTGTCAAAGTACATTTCAAAGTACATGACGCATTTGCAAATTTAATCCTTAAACTTAATTTTTAAATTGATTAAATAAATAAAAAAAACTTTGTATTTAAATATTAAGCTAATAATAAAAACAATTAATTGAAAATTTTGTATAATCAGTTTGATTTTTATCTATAGAATACTGTCAACTTATTGAGTGGATTATAGATTAAAACTAAACTAAATAAAATCATTAAATTAACACTTCCTAAAAATTATTTTTATGCATGCAATATATATATATATATATATATAATTTTATAATTTAAATTCTTAATAAAATTATTTAATACAAATATTTCCTTTTTCGAATACTAAAAAAAATACTAAACTACTATTTAATATAATATGTCGTCGCGATATTACCAATGAATTCATAAAATTACTAATTAAATTTGATATATGCATTTTTTAAAAATATTAATTTTTCGACTAATTATGCTTATTTTATAACTTATTAAAATGTTATATTACTTGTTCTTTTTCGTTTTTATATTATTGATTAATTTTTATTGAATTGTTTAGTTTGTACTTCCAAGTGTAGTGAAAGTTTTATTTTATTTTATTTTAACTCATATCATTTGTAGTTTTTTCAAAAAATTTAAAATTATTTAGAAAATGAAATGAGAACTTAAAGGCAATTATTTTGAACAATTTAACTTAAATAAATTTTTTCTGATTAAAAATTTATCAAAAAAAATTTTTTTTTGTGATTATAATGAGCACAATAATCAATACTTATGTTTCCATTCATCACGAAGTCGTTATTTTATTTTCTACATTCATTTTTTTATATATATTTTTAAATTTTAATATTATATTAATTATTATTTTTAATTATTACTTCAGAAGAACTGTTTTTACAATCCATAATTTCAGTGTTTATACAAATATATCCTGATGTCGTTTTTATTAAGGTTTATTTCACTTTAAATATCTCTAACAAAACGATATATAACAATTTTTATATATAATTCAATTATGATATTTTTATATCACTCTGTGCTTAAGGCTAAATTATAATATTGAAAAACGGAAATTAAAGGCAAAAATAGTATTACAAAAATCGTTCAATGAACCGTTTTTGCTATGTCATTGAAATATATTTCGCTGACGAATCGCAACTCATAGACTGTCAATCGATGATCATTTGTTGTATTTCCATAAAAATGAAATCAAAGCTAAAATGAGATAAATATTTAAAACACATCTCAAATTGACATAACAGCACTTGAACTTGATCTTAAAGTGTTGAACTGTTTGGGAAGTTTTCTACTGAAAACGATTGAAATATTTACACACGCTCGAGGTATTCCCTTACAGCCTGCGATGACTCAGATGACTCAGATATTGTTTTGAGAAATCAGCAATCTGTAGAGAGTGACTACCAAACACTTGAGAAATACAAAATAACAATAAATGATGCGATAAAGTGCCGGTAATTACTTTTTAGTAGCGTTGTATCTTGTATCTCATTATATGTACACTACATACATATATTTCGATAAGTAATGACTAGCCATTTTAAGTTGGCGTTTTTGCTGTGGGAAGCTGTCGCAAGTGGTATTGTGGTATTTACACTTTTTTTCTAACCTATAAAACTTAAAAATATTTCAAATGTTGAAAATATTTCAAATTCACTTTCATTTTAAGGTCAAATAATTTATTTTTGCAGTCAATTTTAACTGCTAATTTAGGTTGTTTGGAAACAAGTTCGTTTGTTATTCGTCTAACATTTTTCATCAATTAGACAAACTGTGCCTACTTCCCCCCGCATTCTGACACATTTACAAATAACATAAACACTACATAAACACAGTAAATGAACAAATAAATTAAATCATGAAAATGTTATTGATTAATGACTTTTTTAAATGCTCTTCCAGTCAATAAGCAAATATTGTACTTTGTCGAGATTGATTTATTTAGTATTGAGATATGGCGGAAATAGAAACTGTTTTAGGAAGTGAAGCTCACTCGCAAGTAGTGATTAAGCAATTTATCAGTTTTATTGGAATTAAGTTTGATTTATGAACTTAGTTTTTGATAATACACAAAACACACAAATATGAGCTAGGCAAAGTTAAGTCAAGTTAAGTTAGTCTAAATCACTTAAGTTGCTTATGTGTGGAATTAAAAATTTACACGAATTGTGCTTAATTAATATGTTTTATGAAATAAATAGAATTATTAGAATTTAATCCATTCGAGTAAACTTAATTAAATTTAAATTACATATAAATGTAAGTTGTGGTCACTGAAATATATTAGCGAAAGTGTTAAGGCGACCTAATGTCTGCTCATTTTTAAAGTAACAAATAACTGAGTTGAGGCTAATAATGTAATTAAATCTGTGGTTGATTAATGACTTTCCAGTACACAAAAATGTACTCAAGCAAGATTAAACGGAGTTGCTTCAACCGTAAATGTTGTAAGTAAATGAGTTCGGAGTGCCTTCACAAAATCAAGTGGCAAGTGAAACGAATGATCACGCACTGCAGTTATTTTTTGAACCTGCGTAGTGCGTACAACGTGGAACCTTATAATTTTATATATAATTTTTATATATTTGTATATATTATTATATATTTATATATATCAATACATTTTATTTATAAATAAATTTTTTTTGCCGAAAGTGACGTGTCTTTTAACGAAAAGTAACTACCACAATTTAGAAGGGTTCGAATGGAAATGAAAAAACGACAACAAAAATTTTAGTTAATTTATTAAAATCTGGCTGACCATACAATGCTGTTTCGAGTATTGCCAAGCACTCGTACCAAGTATTCTTAGGAATTATTCGAATTTTTTATTCACCTAATTTTCTGTAACATGAAATACATGCATTACATGAAAATAATTGTATAGTATCTCGTAGTCTAGAGGTTAAATCTATAGTTTAGACTTGGTAGAGAAGTAATTGGAAGTGCAGTTTGTACAACTTACCAATCCTTATTAAAACTAACCCATCTTCACTCAATCATTACTCAACTACTTTATAACACATATACTCTTCGTGTAATTCATTCATATTATATGCTTTAGATTTACAGTGCTCGGAGAGCGATTTCTTCCATAACTTG